ATAATTAATACCAAAGTACTATGTTTGTTGACTGTAACATGCGGTTAAAATCAATGTTTTCCAATGTTTTGTATCTTTTGAATTTTGATTTACGTAAGAAATAACTTTAAAATAAATATTTTTTTTTGTTGCTAGTATTTGAATTTCATTGAAAATGAGAAGGTTTGTAAAATATTACAAAAGGTTAAAACAAATAGGAAAAGCCTTGCGAACAAAGAAATAAAAAAACAAGGATAATCCTAGAAAAGTAATACGAATGGGATGTGTTTTTACTCGTAGGTGAGCCAAATTTGCATTAGGTCACCAAATGATTTCTTTGCTCTTTTGGCTAGAATTGCGTCTCGGATAAGTCGGTCAATGATCTTGAAGATAGCATGAGGAGTTGAAGAGCAATTGTTGTGTAGTCGCTTGTTCCGTGCCGACCATATGCCATATATTGTGGCTTGAGCAACTAGACGTCGTAGAGCACTTTAAAATAAATATTTATATGTTAGAATTTATTTTTGACGTTTGTTGTTTAATATACTACACGTTACCATGGACAATTCACCTACTTAGCTTAATATTCTTCCTCTCCTTCGACTCCGCATCTCAAGATCTCTTTACTCATATGAATAGTTCAAATTTTATGCTTATGTTTTCCATCTCGGGAAAATAGGATCACGTAATTGAAAGCGTTTTAATAGGGATGCAATTTTGGATGTTAATTTAATTATGACACATTTGATCTGAATTCAATCTGATGTTAATAAAATTATAACTTTAGAGTAGTCATTATTATAAGTACATCGTGATTTCAGTGTAGTATTTAAGTATCAAATGGACATGAAAATAAGAACAACACAATAAGTATGCAAGATATTAATTAAGCAAGTTTCAACAAGTTTGAGGTAAGGTGGGCTGTGAGAGTAAGTAGTGATGGCTAGATACAGCGGTCACATGTGTATAACCCGCGGTTGAAAACCGAGTTGGCATAGTAGAGTGAAACCAGAAAGAAAAAAAAGATCAAATGAAAATTGATTTGGCAAAGTAAAAGGTTTACAATTCTATGTTCAACAAAACATAAATACGGGAAGCTGATGGTTAGAGGAGTCACGATGTGTATTGTTGATGAGCATAAATGCCATGGATTTGTGACATACACTGTGAAAATCGATATAAAATTTCCCTAAGATTGTAGAGAGATTAAGGTTGAGATAACAAAATAAAGCTAGTCATAATTTTTCGTTGGTAGTAGAATGATCTTTGATTATTGACAAAACAAATAAGAGATTGCAGAAATTCTATAAGAAACCGCACCCGCCCGCTTATGCAAACTCCTGTATCCGCACCACCGGTCATCCCCATAGACTATGTTTTAATCGTTTTTACAAGTTTTATAAAACAGTTTCTTATCATCTTAATTCAGTAGCTTCTCAAAGGTTTTTGCGAACGTTTAGTAAAGTTTTCGCGAAAAATGTCTTAC